CCCGCCTGGACGCCGTCCTGTGCCACTGCTGGAGGTGCCCCTGCTCTGGCCGGGGGTGGCACTGGGGAGCTCCAGAGGGCCCCTCTGACCCTCACCAGTCTGGGATTCTGTGAAATAATTGCTTCCAGAGGTTAGGAAGCTGATGGGGAGGGATAGTATTCCTGGAAGCGCTGTCTGGGCTGGATAACTTTGCATGGCTTGTGCAGGAGCTCTGCTGTGTCGGTGGACTTATAGCTGTTGGTATTTTCAGGTGTTGCTGTCTGTAGGCGCTGCAGCAGAGTCACTTCGGTCAGTGTAGGGTTAACTCGCTCGTGAAAATAATAGGGGGAAAAAAAAGAGGAGGCAGTGATTTTGGAGTTACCATGTGACCATGAACATTCTGAGCAGCCATCCAAGCCTGTGGGAAACAAGCTGTTACGCAACTCTGACTTGCCGAGCGCATCTCGAATTTGGTTTAATTTATTTTTGCAAATACACACGATATGTCAGCAGAAGCGGCCGCGATAGAAGCACAGGTGGCTACCAAAGGAGAAAGTCCTTGCTTTCTGCTGCATCCTCCCTGCCACAGATTAGCTGTAAGTCACATTGCAGACACGTGGGAGCTGACTCCTTGGAAATGGAAACCAGAGGAAAGGGAGGACAAGGGTTTGTCATCATTACCATTGCACTGACCTTGATAAGTCATCACCATCCTGCCATTGCCTGGTAGTGACTCCTTAGTGTCATGTGTTAATTCTGAGCCGATGGAGGTGGTCTTCAAGATGTGCAGGTTATAAAACGGCTCCTGTTTTGTGATCCAGAGGCTGGGCCAGGAGGGAACTGGTTTTTCGTCCCACAAATCTCCAATTCAGCTGCAAAACCAAGCTGGTCCCCATCCAAATGAAGAGGTTACTACAGAACACTTCAGTTTTTGGCAGAAGGCACCATCTCCAGTGGGAGCTACGGTCCGTCCCACAGCTCGCTGTGGGTTCGGTTATTTACGGAAAGAGGCAGATGTTGGCTTTGGCACTGCCTCTCTCCGAAGTGCCCTGAACTCGCAGGATGCGCTCTGGGTGTTGTGTCGCTACATGCGTTGCCGGCTCCGTCATTGGTTTTCTGTCTGCTTTGAGCAGTGATTTCCTTTCCGTGGATCTCCTTCCCGTTCTGCAAAATGAAATAAGGGATTTGCCCAACAGCTGGTGGTGCCCGCCTTTTCTAGATCAGCTTTTTCTTATGCGGGCTGGTGGAGATCCAGCAGATTCTCGTTATTTAGGGGCTGAGGGAGGGACAAATAGGATCTGCAAGTATTTGTGGTGGGGATCTTGCGTAGAGATTGCTTCTGCAGCTGTGAGTCACGGTGCGCTATCCCCTCCCGTATCGCGTTGCTTTACGCTGTAGCAAAGCCAGGGCACAGCAGCTGGAGGTTTTGTGCTGTGGCCTCATACATCCCCTGTCTGTATTTTATGCCACCTGCCAGTTGCAGCCTGTCTGAGACTGACGTTAAGCCAAAAGTGCTGCAATATCATGTTCGCAGCACTGTATACGTTTTATTTCTGTCCTGGTTAGCATCCACGGTAGTTTTCTATGCTCTGACTCAACTGCTCTCCTATAGAGGACGTGCTCGCCCGGGCAGACCGCTGGCTCCCGAGGTGTCCCGAGGCTCATACGCGTGTAGCAGTAGCCTGCGAGGGTGGGTAATGAAGCATATCCTTTTAAACAGCAGTTCTTTTTTTTCCCTGTGGGATAGCAGGAAAGTGAGGAACCTCTTCAACAGCCTATTTTAATTTCCCAGGAGAAATAACTCACAATATTTTTCTAGTTTTATAGTCTGACGTACAGCAGTAACGAAGGGAGAAATGACAAAAATTTCCCAGAATAGTTATGTCTTTAAAGAATTTGGTTCAGCCATGAAGTAGTAGAATAAAGTGTAACTGATTACTACTTGCCCTCCACCTTTGGAATCAAAAGGTCTGGCTCACAGCTTCACTGACAAGACCGGGGAGCTGTCTGTGGATGTGCAGCCAAAAGTTTCCACGTTGAATCCCGCAGAACAGTGATTTCCTATCAGGAGCTCAAGAGACCGAGTCTCTTAGCTGCTGGTGCAGGGTTGGTTTTTTTTTTTTGGGAGAGAGGTTGAGTGCGAGGCGCCAGTAATAATGCGGCATTGGGATTGTTCCGGAGAGCTGTGCTGATGCATATAGAAGGATGGGTTTTATTGCCAGTCCCTAGGCTTGTTTCCTCGGGTGCCTCAGAGGAGTCTCATCCGACTCCGCCTCGGGATCCAGCAGCTCCTCGGATGTATGGAGATGTGTCCCTTGGCCAGACCTTGGTGTATCACTGAGTGGTTTCCTGGAGCATGGCAAGACATCATCCCCGGCAAGGGAGGGGGTTGTGTGCTGCACCCTCATCTCTTTAGGTTGTAAAAGAAGGAATGACATCAGCCCGAAGCTCAAGGCTCCCTCCCGCGCTGGTTACCTACACAGCGTACAGAGAGATCCCAGCAACGTTGCAGCAATCGCTGTGGTCTTGGCGGTATTGAGGAGATCATCCCACCGGGAGCTCCGCCGCTCTGAGTATCACCTGCGGGGATGCGCTTCCACTCCCTCGCTGTTGGGAGATGTACGCTGGCAATGTTCTCCCAGGGTCTCCCTGAACCTGTATTTATTTGGTGCGGTGGAAGTTCACCATTTTGATCTCCAGTTTGGGCCATCTTGGGCCAGGATCAAGTTCCAAAGTCAGATAAATGCCCTGCAGGCACTGACCCAACTCCAGTTCCCCTTCCGACGGCAATGGTGATGCAGCACTGGGACAACTGGGGCTTTGTGTTGTGTACCATGGCTCGTATCCCATGTGGAGACCAGCAGGCAGCCAGTGTAGATCACAAAACCCTGATGTCTCTCTCCTGCCTTCTGCGCCCGCTTGACCGTGAGCAGAGGGAGCCTTGGACAGCGTGTCCCGACTCGGGTAGCCAGCTCAGACAGGGCCTTGCAAACTGGTTTCCAAAGATCTGGAGTTAAATGGTGTGGCTTACAGCTTCACTAACAATACAGGGAAAGTTATCTGTGGACGTAGTGCCAAAAGTTTCCACGTTGGATCCTGCAGAATCGCGATTTCATATCTGGAGCTCAAGAGACTGGCACCTATCGGGAGGCAGAACATCGCTGCTGGCTCCCGTTACAGGTGTGTACGGGCTACTGGGGGCTGAGGTAGGTGGGGGCGAGAGTTGAATGGGGACAGGTCCCATGGTGGAGAGGAGAAAAAGGATATTGAAGTGGACTTGATATCGCACAAGGCAGTTTTATGGCAAGAGGCAGTGTCCCCTGAGAACAGGATAAGCGTGGACGTTGTTCTCCCAAACCAGGTTAACCCAAAGCCCAGAAGGGATTCCTCTGAGGGGCGGCTCTCGGTATCGAGCCCAGGGCACGTACCGGGGCGGCTGCCTGGGCTGGGGGAGAGCGTGTAGCTGTGTGCTCCTGGGGCTGGTGCACTGCTGGTGTGGTGTGAGGACTGTCAAAGGTTTTTACGTTACTCCGGCGAGGAGGGGTACCTCATTGCCTAACTTTGGACGCAAAACTCGGGTGTCTTAGGTTGGTGGAGAACCTGGGACGTTCAGCTTCTGCGTTGAAAGGGATGGAGGCTTTGTAGCCCGAGGCTGCCTGTGGACGATCCAAGTTGTATATCTAAGGTTTATGGAGTGTGAATACTCCCACACTTCTCCTGAACACTGGAAGATTCAGCCCTCTTCCTTCTGTATGTTGGGATCTGCCTGGAGAAACCAGGGCTAAGGGAGCTGCCCTGCCAGAGGAGCTTCTGGAAGGTTTTCACTGCCCTGAGAAGCGCATTGGAAGTACCGCCGTAGCCTGGGTGAGCTCTGCAGTGGCTCTTGCTGGGCCTCTGCTTCTGTATGCTGCAAAATGGAGAAGCAGAATTTACTGAAATATTGGTTTAAAATGAAGTTCTCTTTTCTATTACTTCCTCCCTGCTGTAGTCACGACATCTCCCGGTGCGTGTTCACCACTGCAGTCGGGGTGGTGGCTGTGCGGGTCACGTTAGGGGCTCCGGCGTGCAGGGCATCACTCTGGCCGCCAGAGCTTGGGGTGAACAGGTAAGTTTGCCATCCTCCTGTTCATCCAAACCTCAACTGGCAGTGATGGGAGCGGGACGGGAGATGTGGGTGACAACAAGACAGGAGAGCATGAAGCACGTGCTGTCTCTGAGCCATCTCCCGCTCTGGTCCGTGCCTTCTGGCTCTGCACCACCTTCCGAGGTCTCCTGCCCTGCCAAGTCTGTCCCTATCGCTGCCTCCGTGATACATTGCAGTTACTGTGCTCCAAAACGGTGGGGTAAGATCACCGTGTCGGTTATATTTCTGTCGCAGATGTGCTGGCCTTGGAGTTCATCGAATCCCAAAGTCAGCTAAACTCGCTCAGCTAGAAAACTGCACTGTTGTTAGCAGATACATATTCATCAGGCCAACGGTTCTTTTTAATTTTCTCCCTTTCCTGCTTAGCTTCATTTTTGCTTATGAATTGTATTACGCTTGCTTCCATTAACGGGAGATGTATTGCCTCTGTCAACCTCTGAGTAATAACCAAACTGCCCCGAAGTGTCCGCGGGGCCAATATATCTGATTGCGGCACATAAAATAGACCGGTGAGTACCATCAGCCTGCGATCCAGCAGCAGAACAGTACTCTGTTAGACAGTTGACCTGAAAGACTGATACTGCCGCATTGCGCTCAAAGAAGTTTGTTTTCCGGCCTTGGTGGAAGGAGGGAGGGCTGTTCTCGGAGTTTCCCGGGAATGATTTGGCTCTATGAAACCTTCTTGTTGGTGCGAGCCCGGCTTTAGGGCAGCCAGTGTTGCACTAAGTGGTGACATGGTATAAAAATCTCGCTCTGCTTTTTCGGATAGATCCCAAAGTCTCGCAGGAAGTAGCACGGGCAAATCGTCTGCTTGGTTTATGGCAGGCATGGTCTGTCTGACCACCGGTGCAAACTCGAAGCTGTAATCCAGCTGTGCACGGCCCTCGTAAGCCCAGCTGCATTCCTACAGTCAAATCCTAGCATCAATTTTCACCCCCAGCCTCACTGGGGTCTGGTCTCGTTCAAATATCTTCTCCCTGGCTTTCCGTCCGGCACGTGAGGCTCTGCGAAGCAAATGGACTTTCCCTTGGAGGGATCTGGGTGGCTGTGCTGAAATTGGGCTCTTCTCACTCCCCTCCCTTTTGCCGCACCCCTGTGTTTTGGTTTTGAGGTTCAGGACGTGCTCTCCTCCGCTTCTTTATGCCCCCCTGGGAGATGAAGACCTTGAGCATCACCACCGCTCTCAGCGTTATCGGCAGTGCTGGTGAGCCCGGCAAGGCACCGTTTCCCCTGCAGGAACCCAACGAGGGCTCTCCACAGCACTCTGGGCAGAGGACCGCAGCAGCCGGAGGATCAAACAGCACCACTGGGCAGCTCGGCCCACGCAGCACCCTTCAAGGAGCGGCACAGAACACCGGCGAGCCGAGATGTGCGTTCGGCTAGAGCTGTTGGGCTCGAAGCGAACGCGAGCGGCTCCCGGTGCGTCCCCCCATTCCCCAGGGACGGTCTGCCCTGGGTGAGAGCACGGAATTCAGGCTGTTAAACACACAGCAAGTGGCTAGGTGATGAGCACTGGTGGGTTATCAGATTCTAATTAGCCAAGCCAGGGAAATCTATCGTCTTGACTGGGTTTTGGTTTTTTTCTCAGTGGCTCGGCTGAGGTGAGCTGCAGGCGTCGTAGTGAGTTTGTTTTTTCAGAGCATCCCGAATGCCTTTATTCCTGCAAATCCGAGATAACTCTGTGGATGCTGAGCCCATGCAGCATCCCTCTGGGGCCCAAAGGCGCTGATATCTACCACGCTGGCTGTGGGTTGCAGGCTGATGTCCCCAGTTTGCTTTCTCAGGCGAGTGTGTTGTGGTAGAATAAGGCTCCATCTTCATCCGGTTGCTCGCTGGATAGAAACACGAAGTACACTTGATCTGGCGAATGCATTTGCTCCAGGTTTCGAGAGGAATCCAAGCGGCTCTGGGCTTTTAGACTTCCCTTCGCTTATTTTTTTGTGGTGGTGATGGTTTGTTGGTGTTGGAAACGGTTTTCTCCGCCTGTTCTTCCCCCTGTTCTGTTGACTCCGAGCAGACTATGCGTTAGGGAGTTATCCGCAGCTGCAGCCCAATAACTCGTCATGTCATAGCTCTTGAAATGTGGTGGGGACCGTCCTTCCAGCTCGAAGTGCTGAGTCGATGGGAAGTGTTATAGTTATTTAATATTTATGCCACAGGAGTGCTGGAGACTCTTCTGGACAAAGCACTGAGGATACCCAGCAGCGAGCGGAATCAAAACCTCGCTCTGTTGATAGGAAAAAATAACTCTGTTCTTTTTGTCTCCTTCTAGAAGCTCCATTTTTCATTCCTAGTAGAGTATTATTACGGTTGTCAGAGGTGCATATATTTATGTCAACAAACGCACGAAGAGACATTTGTAATGCCGGGGGTTGAGGGGATGTAAGTGGTACCTTTTATTTAAAACAGTCGCAAGAGGCGAGTGAGAGCCTTTGCGAACCAGGGACGTCTCCAAAAATGCGTGACGAAGCTCCCTGGGACTTAGTACCGCTGCCAGGACTCTCTGGGAGAGAAGCAGAGAGAGAAGACCCCCGAGGAGGCAGCAGACAGCTGTAGAAGCACTGGTAGCGTGGCCCAGACCTAAATCTCTGAATGGGACAAGGAAAAGAGCTGTTTTAGTGGATTTTTCGGTTGAAAGAGGTGCAGAGCTGTAAGCAAATCCCATCTCTTCTTATTGGAGGCGGTGTTGGGGGAAACGGGAGCGTGCGCACCTTGCAGAGGGATATGAGACCCATCCCACTCCCAACTTTGTTCTCCTATCTTCTGTAAGCTACGTGCTGGCCGAAGCGGCCGTCAGCGGGAAGGACTGTGGTCTTCCTTGATCCCCAGGCAGGAAGGAAGGCTTGTTCTGCTCGGTGCCCAGCGCCCCGGCTCACCGCACTACGTTATATACTTGCGTACGTGTACGGGCGACTTGCGTGAGAGGCAGCGCGTTTTGTCACTACGAATGGAAAATCCATTTGGTTTGCTAAATTGCTTCTGATCTAAGTAAAAGTGTTTCGTGTAGCCATAGCGATACCGGGCTGTGCGGGAAGGTTTGGAGGAGAGAGGTGCTTTTTCCTTAGGCTGAAGGAATCCCACTTGATTCGCTGGAGTGAGAGACAGTTTGGTAGCTTCGTTATAGCCCTAATTTAACAAAATGCCTCTACCAGGTCCCTGTAAAGGTAAGGGACTCTAGAATTTTATTTAATTTTTTTTTTTGCAGCTGCTTCTAAATTCTTATAAATTTTGTTGATAAGTGTTGCCTGCTCCTTGCACTTCATCGATGCTCTAAATAAAGGCTTACAGGGCTGCGGTTGAAAACAAGCAATGCAATGTTTGAAGATAAATGGTTTGCTGTCTCCTTCTGTTTTAGGAAGGAGACATCTGGCCCAATTCTTCGGCTGAAATTAATGTGATCTTTAAACCCCGAGAAGCCAGAGTCTACCAACAAACGGTCTACTGCGACATCTCAGGTACAGCTCCTTTCTCCTCCTTCTGTTACCCACAGGGAAGGTGAGGCACCGATAGTCTTCCAGCCCGCTCGGTTCTCCTGTAGTTGCTGGGATGGGTCGACGGTCAGCAGGGCAGTGCTGGCACGTGCCCACTGTCCCTGTGGCTTCCAGGTGGTGTCCTGTTGAAGGCCAGTCCTCAGGGTGCCTACAAGCTTGGATCACTGATCCCAGAACAACCGAGGCAGGGAAGGGATAAGTTTTTTCATGCTGTGGGTTTACCAGCATTTTATCTGCTGTGAGGTGTCCATAAAGACCAAAGAACGACACAGCAGAAGAGCTTCAGTGGACGAGCACTACGCCCCCATTTACCTCCAAGATGAGTCTTTATTATGCAGATGCATCATCAGACTCCTGAGGCAGTAGGAGCTGAGTTACAAACCCTGGATCACCTCCTGCTACCCCAATGCTGCCAGACCTTAGGTGGCTGAGCCCCACTGAGCGCGGGGTGCCTGCGGAAGGACCACCTCTGCCCACCACGTGCTCCTTTCCCCGCGCGGGAGTGCTCACCTCGTGGCTCGGGGTCTCTGGGGCGTACGGGTAGCATTGCACAGGGCTCGCTGTGCTCAGCGGGGTGAGCATCCTCCTTGGAAACGGGAGTCTAAGCAGTCTGCTGGGCAAGCTTTGTGCTCATCCCATCCTACGGAAGCGCTGTCAAGCTTTTTCTGGGAGCGGTTATCGTTGACTCACCCAAGTGATGCCATCTTTGCCCTTACAGAGGTGATCCCTTTGCTGTGCTGGCATGGGGCAGGGAACGCTTGCAGCACGCTGCCCGGTTCGGGTTACCCCGTCCTTCCCCTGCGTCTCGGCATGCTGCTGCTTAAGGTGTTTTCTGAGACAGCTGTCAGATTTCCAACCATTATGGTTTTCCCCAGCGAAGAGGAAGAGGCGCGATGGGATGTGGTCCTCCAGCAGCCGGGCTCCCATTCTGGAGGGTGCAAGAATCGCTAACCCAGCTGCTTTCATGCTTTCCTTACTGCCCCGAGCTGACGGATACAAATGTCACAGAACAGCTTTTTATTTATACAGTAATTACGCAGGGTTTACTTGGCAAATGCCACCTACGGTAATTACACAGGGCTTGTGTTAACAAACTGTCTTCCTGCCCACCAGCTGCAGTTGTTAAGAGCTGTGGAAGGAAAGGATTGATTTTAAAAAGTCGCTCCCGAGGGATTTCTCGCTCAGTGCTGTGCTCCTGGCGCTGGGATCCGTGCTCTGGTGACGGGGACGTCCATCACTTGCCTGCAGGGCTCTGTGGGGGAGTTGTGCCAGGAGAGCTTTTTCATTGCGGAGAAATAGGAAAAGGACTTGCCTGCAACCCTTGAGCCGGGCTGGGAGCTGTAGGAAAGAGCTGAGCCAATGATTTGTGTTTAGAAAGAAGCACCTGCTCTTGGAAGACCCCGATGGGCCCTTGGGAAAGTGTAACGATTCCACCAGCTCCTTGGAAGAGGACTTCATTTAATCGATGCACCTACCCGCCATCCCTTACAAGACAGCTGATCCGCTGTATTGTCAGGATGGAAACTGTCCCAGAGCGAAGGTCCCCACGTGCCAAAGAGTTTAACGAAAACAACGACCTTCAACCAGGGACTCGATTAACTTTCCTTCTTGATCCCTCTAAGAAGCGTGACCGTGTTCCTCACATGGTTGCGTGCCGGTCACAAAATCCCGCTGGAGGATGCTCTGCGGATGGCGCGTACCCCTCGCTGGGAATATTTGGGAGCTTTGTCCCTAGTGCAGCAGCAGGAGTTGTGCAGCTGGATATCCTGCCCCACTGCGAAGGGGCTTTGCTGGTCTCCATGGGGTTTTTTGGCAGGTGCTTGCATAAGTTGCTCCGCAGATGCTTCTGGATCAGGTGATTTACAGGACTAATCAGCACTCTGCATCTTGCAAAGCTGACAGTTAAGGAGGGGGTTGAAATTTGCTCTTGGCAAATATTTAGCCTCAAAATTAACTTTCTTCGTTATTCGTGCAAATAAAGCTGCAGCGCTTGAGTGCTGGAAGGAAGGACACGGGGGGGTGGGGGGGAGGTGCTCAGGCACCCTAAATTCATTTTTAGGTTTGTCTGCACGCAGGCCTGTATTGGGTTACACCTTGCAAAACCCCTTTCTAAGCCACCCTTGCAGGGAGAAGCAAAATCCCCAATGATGATCACTCCCTTGCCTTGGGACAGACCCATCCTGCATCATGTAAAACTCTTTTATTGATGATGTTAGACGAGTCGTGTTCAAAGCCAGTCACAAAACACAGGGATGGATGTTCTGTGAACAAGACACAAGAGTGTCGGAGAGGTGCCAGAAGTTAAGGACTTTGTTGCCAAAGTCCTGTGCTGTTGGGCCACCTTCACCCCTATCTATTTGAAAGCAAAGCCAAACTGTGCACCCTGTGTGGTGTGCCAGGGCGGTATTCCTACTGAGGTCCAAATTTGCACTCCACGGTACCGGCTTTGGATTTGGGATGGAGGACAAAGGCTGTAGCCCCTCCATGCCCTTGGTCTGTGTGCTCTGGGATGTGTTACGGTGGGAACGTCACCCCATCTGTACCCAGGCCTTGGGCAGAGCTTGGATGTTCCTCAAAGCCCCAGCTCCCTGCAATGAGGAGGACCTGCTCTCTCTTTTTTTTTTTTTCTTTAGCCTCTCAGTTCTCCTGAATGCTGCCTGTAGTTCACTCTGCTCTTCCTCCTTTGGGAGGTTCACCTGGAAGGAGGAAGAGCAACATTTCTGGGATTTCCTAAAGTCCCAGGATCAACATTAGGGGGTAGAAGAAAGGATGGTTTCCGTGGACCTTCAGGACCGACTGCAAAAGGGGTGATCTCTTTTTTTTCTATCACAGTGGCCATGGGATGTGTCTCGGCGCAATCATGGACAGAAGGTTGTCACTTGGAAATCTTAGCCATTTCTTAAGAGCTTTGATGGTTTAGACCTAGGGGCTTTTAAGGAAAATTAAGCCACACGTGGTGCAAGATGGAGAAATCTTTTAACAGTGATCACCCAATGCTGCCTCTTATAATATCTGTGAAACGGAAATACACAGCCCAACAATTGATGCCTGGGCTGTGAAACATAACTCTCATCTCTATCAGCTGGGCCTTGGCTGGACCCCTTAAAAATTACTGAATTCAACAAAAGCTCTCTAGCTCTTCCTTTTTGGCTTTGGACATTATCAAACAGCCTCATCCCATGGTTGCAAGATCAAAAAAATCAGCAATCGTTGAAAAGGCTGTTCCAGGAGAGTGTTTTCAAGTTGTGATGTGGTCACTCCTGGGCTGCTTTTTGCAATAAGTCATTTGGGACATTCTGGAATGAGTATGCAGCAGACTTGGAAAAAAAAGAAATAGAAATCAACCTTCAATCCCTAATCTTTAATGGTGAGCATCAAGTGCTCAACGGTGAGCTTCGAAGGACCTTGAAGGACAGAGGAATATTTTTTGCACAAAAGCTACAGTGGAGGTTATATGCAACTTCTGGGGCTTTCTTCTCTTCCTACCGCTACTCGCTTTCCATGCAGAGTGGAATGGGGGACAGCAGGGAGACCCAAGCTGAAATTTGAGCTGGGATTCAGGCACTTTAGGCTGCTCCAGTGGTCCAGAACAGCCATCAGACTGAAAGATCCTGTACTATGTCATCTTAGCAGCCTCCTGGAGGAAAACTAGCATCTTGGAGTTTAGCTATAAGCCTGGTGGTCTCGGTTACCTTCGCAGCAAGGGTTGTGTGAATGAACAGTACATTTATGGGTGGAGAGCAGCCCTGAGGAGAAGGACCTGGGGGTGCTCATTGATGAGAAGCTCAACATGAGCTGACAATACGTGATCGCAGCCCAGAAGGCCAACTGTATCCTGGGCTGTATCAGAAGTGTGGCCAGCAGGGTGAGGGAGGGGATTCTGCCCTTCTACTCTGCTCTGGTGAGACCCCACCTGGAGTACTGCGTCCGGCTCTGGAGTCCCCAACATAGGAAACACATGGACCTGCTGGAGTGGGTCCAAAAGAGGCCCCGGAGATGCTGGGAGGGCTGGAGCCCCTCTGCTGGGAGGACAGGCTGGGAGAGTTGCGGGGGTTCAGCCTGGAGAAGAGATGGCTCTGGGGAGGTCTTACTGTGGCCTTCTGGTCCCTAAAGGGGCTCCAGGAGAGCTGGGGAAGGACTTTTTACAGGGGCATGGAGTGACAGGACAAGGGGGAATGGCTTCAAACTGGAAGAGGGGAAATTTAGATGAGATCTGAGGAAGAAATGTTTCCCTGTGCGGGTGGTGAGCCCCTGGGGCAGGTTGCCCCGAGAAGCTGTGGCTGCCCCATCCCTGGAGGTGTTCAAGGCCAGGTTGGACGGGGCTTGGAGCAACTTGGGCTGGTGGGAGGTGTCCCTGCCCAGGGCAGGGGGTGGGACTGGATGGGCTTCAGGGTCACTTCCAACCCAAACCATTCTGTGATTCTATGGCGTATCTGATCTCAGCAGCGAGGGGGTTGGCTTTCCGTAACTGCTCAGCCTGCTTGAGGGAAGGTGTCTTTACAAAGCCTCTTGCTGTCATGGTGGGAATAGATGAGTCCTTCTCTCTGGAGATTGTAAAGCCCGGTGTTCTTTAGGCGCTGGTGGAGGAGGTGAGCCCTGGAGCCCCCCAGGTACGGAGCTGTACGTTGGGCAGAGGTGGGGGCTGAGATGCTCTGCCTGCTCTGAGCAGCGCTGGGGCGCGTGTATCGCTGTGAGCGGGGAGCTTCGCCTTGCTTGGGCTCATGCTTCTCAGCTCCTGCGCTGTCATCTCCCATCGCATCAGTATAGACGGCGTATTTTTATCTTCAGTTCTGTTTCATGAGCTTTGTGCCTTCACTGAAGGGATTTCCAAGCTCACCTAAGATCATGGGAAGAAATTCAGAGATGGTGTTTTGAATTCGGCGTCGCTTTTTCAGGGTGCAAATAGAGCGCTAAATGAGAAACCAGCCCAAGGGGTGGGTTAGAAATTACAAACCGGCCCCAAAGCATATCTCCTGAGAGAAGAAAAACATCCTGTTATCTTCTTATGGAGCATCTAGAACTGGTCCCATCCAGCCTGAAGTCAGGGACTAGTGTGGAGGCAGCCTGGAAAATCCAGGATAACAGAGGGGATTATTGTACTGAAATGGAAATCTCTCCCCAGGCCGTGAGACCAGGCTGCCCCTGCGCATCAAAGGGGAAGGCATGGGGCCCCGGCTCCGCTTCAGCTTCGACCAGCTGGACATCGGGAAGGTTTTCGTTGGATCAACCCACAGCTATGAGGTGAGCAGTAGGGGTTCCCAGGGGTTGGGGTGGATCCTCACGGCTCCCTGTGGAGTTTCTGGCAACTCGGGCAGTTGAGAGCGGGGAATATTTGATGTAACGGTCAAATGTGGGGGGTTTTCACGGAATCCGGATACATTTGATGGGGTCTGAAAGGCGTACGTGGTGTTCATGAGGCCCTAATCCCTGCTTTTTGGCAACCTCCCTTTGAGATGAGCTGGGAGGCTTCACGCGAAAAACAAACCCTTGACACACGAAAGCATTGTTGGGTCAAAAAGATATGTATTCAGGAGTTTTTGTTTCAGCCCTAGATGCGATGCAGCTTTGTACTCTGGCCCCTAAGAATCAGCTGGGACAAATTTACTGTGTTTTGAACTCAAGTCTGTCGCAAATGGTTTTTAGCTGAGTGCATCCTGCCGATTCCTGGGAGTCGGAGGAAAGCCCTCCAGCCTCCCGGCTCCGAGAGGTCCCTTGCAAAGACATTGGGAGCGCTTCCCCGGGCCCACCAGTCTCCCGCCGCTCTTCGGAGTCTGGCTCTATAAAAAAACAAAGCATCTCTGGAAACGAAGCAAAGGAACTTTCTATGTATTTGCCTCTCTCCCCAACGGTGTCAAGTGTTCCGCAAAAAAATAAAATAAAATAGAGCCACCGAAAGAGGTAGAAAATGAGACAATACATCATGCCAGACACTTTCAAAAGCTTGACTGTGGCAGGGAAGGACACATTAAGGTGTTTTCTTACCAAAATATTGTGCTCTCTCTGCATTTTTAATGCTGATACTTCACTGATTCTCTCTATATCAATTTATTATTTTCATTACTCGAGAAAATGTGAAGTAGATGATGCTGTTAGTGCTGTCGTAAGCAGCCAGACTGGAGGTAAACCTCAGCTCAGCATAGGATCCCTACATGCAATTTGTAACGGAGGTGTAAAACACATGAGAATCGTAGAGTGGTTTAGGTTGGAAGGGACCTTAAAGAAGAAAGTATTTTGCAAGTTACCATTGCGGAGTTTGAATACGTGAATATTTTCAACAGCGGCTGCAAAATTAAAAAAAAAAAAAGGGGATGTTTCTATGCTTCTGTCTCAGTTTTTCTGACAGGTTTTGCAAGGACAAAAATTAGGGGAAAGAAATCCAAAGCAGGCAGATAGATAGGTCCGTGGAAATGGCAGGATTTTACCCGGCAGCAATTGGAAACTTTACGTGTTTGCTTTGGGGAGGTCTGTTGGTGGCTGACTACATGCTGGTACTCATAGGCAGAGGTGGGCATTTCTCGCCCAACATGAAAATAAACAAATCTTAACAAATACTGTGGGATTATGTCACGTGTTTGAGGTAGTAGATCTCTTGAGGGTTCAACAAAATAACGGCTTGGTCTGAAATTTCCAGCTTATTTTAATAATGGTAAAATCATAAATGGTGGCTGTGAATATTTAGGAAAGAGAAAAATCTTTGGGATAGATGGGGCTGCTGTGCACCTCACGCTCATCCTTTCCCGACACGCCTGTTTGAGCAAAGGCTAAGAAACTATCACATTAAAGAAAAAAATAAAAGAAACCTAAATTATATACTATAGCAGAGTTGGGGAGTGCTTCTGAAGTCGGTTCTAGCGCTGTCCTGAGGCGTCTCCTACATGCAATAACCTTGTTGGCTGAGATAGAAGCTGAGCGGGATCGGACCCACCTGGAGCAGCTGTTGATGATTCTCCAGTAATGCTGCAACCGCCCTTCGTTGCTCTTAGGGACAGGTCTGGATCCCCTCGGGGATGCTGAGCAGGTCCTCCGCACTGCAGGTCGAAGCGGACTGCTCTGTGTCAGTGCAATAAACCCAGAGTGACTCTGTTTATAGGAAGTTATCTCTGCTTTGCATGAAAAAAAAACAACCCCAAAGGCAGAACTCGTCCTATTGTATTTTCCTTGGCTTCTGCCAAGCAGCAGCACTCGGCAGCTCCTGCCTTTCACAGATGTTAATTGCTTAATTAAAAAACAAATCAGCCTTCTGTAAGAAAGGAATATTCCTTATGTATTTCCATTTTTGTTTTCTTGCTGCTGCAGGCGATCCTGTTTAACAAAGGAGCCATCACTGCTCTCTTCAACTTGGTCCCTCCGGTTACAGCTCTGGGCTCCTGCTTCACCTTTCTCCCCGAGGAGGGCATCATTTTGCCGGATGAACTCCAAGCCATCCAGATCTCCTTCAGTTCCACCATCCTGGGGAAGTTCACAGAAGAATTCCGGTTCAGTGTGAATGGATCCCCTGAGCCTGTGACCTTGACTGTCAGGTGAGGAGGGTTACAGGAGCTCGGTGGGCACATGGGCAGGTGATCTCTGGATCATCATCTCCCCCCTCCCTCGTTTTATGGTGAAGCAGAGATAAAAAAAAAGGTGTTCCCTAAGGTCTTAGTGTGGGGCTGCTAGGATCAGAGCCGGGACTAAGCTAAGGCTTTTTAACCTCGACTCCAGTTTGAACCTTCTAATTGCGGCAGCAAATGAAGTGTAATCATCTGCGAGAGGAGGTGACCGTGCCTCCTATGCCCTCAGCACCCCGCTTAACTCTGAAAGTCTTGGGTCCCTCTGGGAAGCACCTTGGCCTTCCCGGCTGACCCGGGGTGGCTCTGTGACTTTCCCGGACACTGTTTGCACAGGATTTGGCAGCAGCCGATTGCCTTTTGTGACCCTTTGACATCTCTGTGTGAGGACCTTAGAGCTTTAAGTGACTACCCATGCTGGAAAAAGGTTGACTGGAGGCTGCCCAGGAAAGGTGCGGAGATGCCTGCTGCCCAGTCTGGGTACACAGGCGGTGGAGTGACTCCTTCCTACAGGTAGCTCGTTCCCCCTTGGGCCGTGGCAGACAGCGTGATGGTATCACCTTGGGGCAGTGGATGGTCTGGGATGTCCCACCTGAGCACACAGCAAGGCCAAAAGGGCTTTGGAGATGGTTGCGGAATGGGTGGTTTTGCAGCCAGAAGCAGCATTTTTAAAATCCTCCGTTAATAATCCATACAAAATGGGCAGCAGCAGCCTCGGCGTTCCCTCTCAAGTTAATGTGTTGGGACAAGCTGTCCTCCCGGCTCTTGTGCAGCGAGTGCTACGGTACCTCCGTTCTGCAGCCGGGAAAGTGCTGATGCGGGAGATGGGGAGCTCTGCAGCAAAGTACTGTCACAAGGACTTGGGCATCATCCCATGGGCAAAAGATAATCCTCACCGAGCAAAGGACAGAGGTGGGAGGGGGGGAAGGCTGATGGTAGGAGAGGCAAAGCTGAGTTCTGAGGACCACAGCAGCATCCAAACTTGTCCCAGGTGGTCTTAACCATGGGTTGATGGGATATCATGGTGTAGGCAGAAAAGCTCTGGAGCTTTGGGGCTGGCTGGCCCTCCTCAGCGGCCAGTGGCCTGGGCTGCTGCTGTTGGGAGGCACTAGGTCAAGGTAGTAAAGAAATGAAAGGAATCTGCGGTCAATTTTACCAATAAGGTAAGGGAAATTGATAAAAAAGAATGACGAGGTTATTACTTTGCAAGAGAGAGCAGTGAGTAGGTCTCTTGACCTCGGTAGAGAAACAATTGTGTCGGCTTTGTGTTTGGAGGGAAAAGTGCTGCTTTTTTTTGGAAATCAAGAGGGAATATTTCGCAATCAAATAATTTATTCTCTTCTGTCCCTCCCCCAAATTGGTCACGGGATTTTATTGCATAAGCAGCTTTCCCCTTGAGCAAGGGCAGGCTTTGCTTGTACAGACGTGCTTATCCCAGGTAAAATACAGGGTTTTTTGGATGGCCTTGTTCCTGAGGAAGGAAGGAGCTGTCAGCGGGGTAATTAGTTGTCTTTTGGCTTCCACACAACCAAATGAGATGGTCCTGGTTTCCCCAGCGATGCCCTGGTGCCCAGCGTGTCCTCTCCTTCTCTGTGGCCACTGTCTACCCTGTTCTGGCAGCACGGCCCTGAGCTCAGTGCAGACTTTATGTCTCTGTGAAAGAGGATTGATGTTTCTATCTTTAATTTCTTCCTCATACTTCTCTTTCCTGGATGGTGGCTCCTATGTAGCCCATCTGATGGTACCCCACCGTCCCCATCTGCTCCCATACAGCTGTACCCCAGATTTGATTCCCTTTGCAGTCCACTCTTCTCTGAGATGTCATCTGCCTCCTTGGTTTCTGTTGCCTTTGTTTCAAGGATCCCTGTCCAGCCCTTATCTCCCATTCTCCAGTCCCACAACTCAAGCTGTTTGTTTTCCAACGCCTTTTGAGATGTCCACCCACCAGGTCAAGCTGAGCCTCCCTGTCTACCTCTTTGGGATGTTTTGTGCACTGGATTTAGTCCTTCGTGGAGGAAGAACTTCCAGTTCTTTTGGATGGAGGCAAGCTGGTTGGGGGGACACTGGGCTGCAAAGGAAGGAATGGGAATGAGAGTTCAAGTGGTTCCTCTCCGACCTTGTGTTATCCTTAGAATCATGGAATCGTCTAGGTTGGAAGGGACCTTGAAGATCATGGAGTCCAACCACCAACCCAACTCTGCCAAACTCACCACCAAACCATGTCCCTCAGCACCACATCTGCCCGTCTGTTAAATGCCTCCAGGGATGGTGACTCCACCATTTCCCCGGGCAGCCCGTTCCAGTGCTCTGCAAGGACTCTGATCTCCCTTCACAAGTGCATTATTTAACGCTGCTGTAAGACACAGTTATTGCCAAAAACACTGCCTTCCCCCGCCATTTTCTTGCAAGCTGTACCGTTATCAGCTGCGGTGCACCGAGCCCTGGGTTGGCTCCTTGCCTGAATCTTCTGGGCAGTCATTCAGGTTTCACTTCCTTGAGCAGAGATACAACCCGCAGCAGAAAGGGCAGTTGTTTCCCCGCTCGCCTGGCAAGGCTTCTCCTTGGCAGTTCCCCAGTGTGATCCCCAGTCGTGGTTGGTTCAGAGGTAGTTTTCCATCGTTTCCTGGCAAGTGCTGAGACGGAAAGCGTGTCTGCTCCCTTTGCTCCGTCCAAAGTAAGCTGTTAGAGCTTGGGAGGTTGGGTCTGCTTATGTGAGGTCCTTGGAGAGGGAACTTGAGCAGCAGCAGGTATTTGCTACCTGCCTTATTCTCAGGAACTGATTAAGCTCCAAGAATTGAGAATCAGCATTGGATTGAAACTCCTGAAAGTCGGTTTTTCTTGAGTGCTTTTTTGACTAGGCAATTGGAGGATGCTCAAACCATCAGTGATTATTCTCTACTTGGAAACCAGCCTTACAAAGTCGTGAATGCTTGTTTGTTTGGCATTTATTTACTAAATAAATGCTGGAAATGGGACACCACAGATGAACGTAGGTCCCTCCTGCGGGGTGCTGGGGGCTGGTCACGTGCAGAACAGACAGAAACAGTATTGTGAATAAAACTAGAAGGCATCCTTCACTGTGGTCCTCGATTTTTTTTGACGAAGAGGCAGAGCTGACATTGATTGGCATCAACCATGAAATAAATTAATGGCTGTTGTGCAGTTCTGAGTGCTGATTTCAGTGGATGTTGGTGAGTTTAGGGGTTTGGAGCCTGGCTGCTGTATTTAAGGATGGGCGAGGAGGTGTGGTGGGTTCAGGACACCCATGTTGGGTAGTTTAAGACATGTTGCGCTTGGATGTGTCAGCTGGTGCACCGGTGACAAGTTGACACTTTCCTCCAAGATTCAACTGTCTGTTATGTAGAAGTGATGCTGTTCTCCTCAGTGGATGTTTGGGGCTCCCCTGGATTCATGCCTCAAAATCCTGCATGCCTAGTGACTGCGTGGGTCGAGATCTTCTGAGGAAAAGGTGCTCATGTACTCCATGGAAACACCAGTTCCAGCTAAAACCAGAGCAGGGAACCTGCACCTGGGAAAGCTAATTACAATCAGTCCACTTTGGTGTGGACACCTCTGTGTCATCACATTACAGATGGGGAAACTGAGGCACAGAGCCGTCTCTTGTGCGGGGTCCTTCATTGGGCCAGCAGCAATGTGGGGACATGCCCTTGGCCCCCTGACTGACGTGGTGGCCTGAGCCACACCAGCAGCTGTCAGCTGCAAAGGGCTTTGCCTCCGCTGCCTCCCATCCCCGGGGATGCCATGCTGAGCAGAAGGGTGATGGGTTGATTTAAAACCCACCGTGGTTCCGAGATCAGCTCTCCTCCATCCGAGCAGTGACGAAAGCTGAACACTTTGCGATTCTCTTGACCAAGATGCCTCCTCTGCCTTTGTCCTCACAGGGGCTGTGTCATTGGACCCACCTTTCACTTCGATGTACCTTCCCTCCACTTCGGTGACGTCTCCTTTGGTGAGTGTGCCCTGGGCTTGGACCGTGGGTTGAGAGGTGTGTGCCTTACCCCAATGGAGCGCTTGAACATCTGTCACGTGTCTTCCTCCGTAGCGGCCTTTGGGGTGTTAAAACCGGGGCTGCTGGTTGCTTAGGCAGCGCTGTGCCATCATGAGATCAAACGGGACCAAAGAAACAAAGTCAGTATTTTCTGGTGTCCCTCGTAGTCTGTTGAGCCCCAACCTCCCAACCCTCGGCAGCAGAATGACTGTGAAAGTCCTTGTCCCAGGAGGGCCCAGGGGATGGGACTGCAGAAGGGAGTTTAAGCCGTGTAGTGGCCCGTAGCCTTGTTCCTGTGGCAAGGAATAACAGTGCCCTTTAGTGTGACATGTTAATTAGTGCTATGAGGGCACCTTGTTATCACCTACCAGGTAATATGCCCAAGGAATAGCTCTGTGTCGGGCACTGCTGTCCTGGGAGACATGGGCTCCTTCTCCTTCCCCTCCGAAAGCCCAGCGGTGCTGGGGGAGCCGGTGGTGAGCATCCAGAGCGTCTCCATTGAAATGCAGATTCTGGGTCTCCATCTCTGTCTCACAAAAGGCTTTTTACTGAGATGATCTAAAGTTTAAATGTGGAATCAATTGTGGATTGATTGAAGGGCCATTATCATTCGGTGCCCAGGATGCCTCTGTGTTTTCATGCTGTTCATGGACTCTTTAAGAAAACTCATTACCTTCCCTGAGCCACTTCCTCCCCTCCCTACATCGCCACTCCGCCAAGTCTTTATTTCCTTTTGAATAAATAAAACAACAAGAAACGCACCAGGCAGAACTATGGTTATGTAATCGGAGATTCATCCTCCTTAATCTGATTTCATTAATAAGGCCTTTTCAGCTGAAGGCGGCTATTGTATTTTTCCTTCTTTTAGTGATGCTGCTGACTGCTGTCTGTGTCTGGAGACTTCCGTCTCCTTTGGGGTTGCAAAGTCTCCGTTTGTCCCTTTTTGTGCACCTCCTGCCTCCCTGCTGGAGGCATTGCTGGAGGTGGGTAGTGCTCACTGTTGATGGGTGTAGATGAGCTATCTGCTCTATCTGCTGGTGGTGATTCGTAGAATGGTTTAGGTTGGAAGGGACCCTGAAGATCATCTCATTTCAACCCCTCTGCCCTGGGCAGGGACACCTCCCCCCAGCCCAGGTTGCTCCAAGCCCCGTCCAACCTGGCCTTGAACACCTCCAGGGATGGGGCAGCCACAGCTTCTTGGGGCAACCTGCCCCAGGGGCTCACCGCCCTCACAGTCAAGAATTTCTTCCTATTATCTCATCTAAATCTCCCCTCTTTCAGTTTGAAGCCATTCCCTCTTGTCCTGTCACTCCATGCCCCTGTAAACAGTCCCTCCCCAGCTCTCCTGGAGCCCCTTTAGGCACTGGAAGGGGCTCTGAGGTCTCCCCTTTTCCGCCTTCTCTTCTCCAGGCTGAACCCCCCCAACTCTCCCAGCCTGTCCTCCCAGCAGAGGGGCTCCAGCCCTCCCAGCATCTCCGTGCCCTCCTCTGGCCCTGCTCCAGCAGGTCCGTGTCTTTCCTATGTTGGGGACTCCAGAGCTGGATGCAGTACTCCAGGTGGGGTCTCACCAGAGTAGAGTAGAGGGGCAGAATCCCCTCCCTCGCCCTGCTGGCCACACTTCTGATGCAGCCCAGGATGCGGGTGGCCTTCTGGGCTGCGATCACACATTGCTGGCTCATGTTGAGCTTCTGGTCAATCAGCACCCTCGGGTCCTTCTCCTCAGGGCTGCTCTCCAGCTATTCTCCACCCAGCCTGAATTTGTGCTTGGGATTGCCCCAACCCAGATGTAGGACATTGCATAAATTTGTCTTTGTGCCATTTTCCTAGGTTTTCCTCGCACTTTGTCATGTCGCCTCACTAACACCTCCTTGGTGCCCATGACCTTCAACCTTCGCATTCCTGGGGATGGCTCGGGAGCACCCAGTGTTACCAGTTTGGCTCAGATGTCAGAGGGCACTCGTCCATCCTGGAGAAAGGGAGCTCGGGGTCACGTCAAGCCAACTGAATTTACCATAACCCCCTGCAGAGGAACCATCCGCTCCCAGGGCTTCCTGGATATCCAGGTATGGGAATAGTATGGCCATAGGAGCTTCAGCAGGTGGAGTTGAAGCTTCACTTGATGTACGAGAGGGCTTTAGTGCTGCTAGCACAATGCCAGGAAGATATATGCACTAGCATCAGGCTTTTGTTAGCTGGGTTACTCTGGGACTTTTCCAGAGGAGCACCGTTTTGTTTCCGAAATCATAAGCTGAAGATCACGTAGCGTATGGTCAAGCACAGAAGCCATTCATGTGGTTTTTGAGAGCTGCTTAGAGCAATTTCTTTGATTTAAAGTGGGCAGAGGAAGGATGAGGACAGAAGGTGGCTGTTAAAAAAAGAGATGTCATTGTATAAAACAGTTTGCTTTTCTTCCCCGTCTTGTTTCTCCTCTCCTGTCGAGCAGAAGGAGCTGGATTCACTGCGGTGATTTCCAGTGGGGACTGAAATAGCTCTGGCAGCCGTGAACTGCACAGCATCTGCTGGGCCACGTTTTGTCCTCAGCTTCCCATTGTAAAGCTGAACTCATTCTGTTGAAGTCAACAGATCTCCTCTGGATTTATGCTATTGCAGTCGAGGCTAAAAATTGGTCCCTTAATTTTAATACAGTGGTGAGTAGAGCATTAGCTTAATTGGGCTTTAATTTAGCTTACGTATGCCCTGATAACTGCGCGGTGTATTTAGCAAAGCAGATATTGTCACAAGACTTGTATTACTCCCAGAGACTGTGCTTTACGCATGGACCAGCAGAAGAATTAGGGCAAAATCCTCCCTTTCCTTACCACGGAACGAGAACCAGAGGACACCACACATAGATAACGGCTTTTGGGAGTGAAGTATTTGATGCTTTTCTCTTCCACCAGGTCACCCTGTGCTCCAACACGCTGAAGAGATACGAGCTGGCACTGGTGGTGGACGTGGATGGCGTTGGCAAGGAGGTGTTGGCGCTGCTCCTCACAGCCAGGTATCGGCGCTTCCCTTGCGCCTCGTTGTCTCTCCTCGTGCGTCCATCACCAGCACGCTGCCTCGCGTGTGGTTTGCTGGCTCCATCTCCAAACGAGAAGCGTTGCTTAATGAGCTAGTTCTGCCCAGCTCAGTATGAGAACAGGAGTGCTTTGGAGGCAGCCCATGTTGAGAAGCACCTGTGCTCAATGGACAGGCATGGCCCTCTGCCTTTTGCTGAAGGAAACAGTAATTGTATTCGTTATTGGCCTACGTTTTGGGGTTTGAGGTTTAAAAAAATCCAGGGGGGCTGTCTCTCCTCCTTCCTGCAAGTGGTGGACACGTGCTGGGTTATGACAAAAATGCAACGTTCATTTGGGAGGCATCGAGCAGCCTGCTGAAAGCCGGTGTCTGGTGCAGTTAACGAAGGCACGCATAAATGGGGAAGGGACTACGGTGGGACTGGTGAGGGACGAATAAAGGCAAGATCTTCCGAAGGGAAAAATAGTCCTTGATGTAGAAGGTGAGCTCTGGTTCCTTTCAGTGTTAATGTTCTCAGACTTAAGCCAAAAAGTTGTTCTTGCTGCAGCCGGATCCGATCCTGTCGTGCTGCAGTGGGCGTCAGTTTAATTACGGGAGGGATGCAGTTCACTGGTGCTGTTCCCTGTCCCAGGCAGAGTCAGCCAGTCAGTGCCTGGGCTGCAATTTTCTTTAAAAAAAACAAGTGCAAAAGGACCTGGGGGGGAGTGAAGGACCAAAGTAGCTACAGAAATGGGGAAAGGGTGGTCAGCCGCTGTGTAGGGCAGGTGGTGGCTCGTGCCCTCCGTCGCTGGGACAAGCGGCTGCGTTTTCAGGCAGGACAACAACGATATGGGAGAGGAGGAGTCGTTTTTACTCAGACACTGGCGTCTTGTGTTCCCTGAATGAGCGCTGGTCCTTGGTGGGAAGGCTCCTCCAGAGCTCACGCCTTACTGGGACCATTGGGAGTGGGTCCTTGGAGGCCTCCTGGGGGCAAAGGTGCCCATCAGACAGCTCTGGGACGGGGCGCCGTGCGCTGCCCGGGCACTTGGCAGCCTCTGCCACGCTGAGACTCAGGATTTGCCCCTCCTTCACAAGAGTAAAAGTGAATAAAAAAGAAGTTAAAGGTGATTTATCGCTGTAGGGGTATTGAATGTCTGTTTGACAGTGACAAATGGGTTACGCTCTATTTCGCGCTATTCGGGGAGTAAACAAATTCTACATTCTCTCGGTATCTCTAATTCCCTTTTGGTCATCTCTTTGCCTAGGTGCATAGTTCCTCCGCTGCAAGTGCTCAACCCCATCGTGACGTTTGGACGGTGCCTTCTGAAATTCCCTTATCGGCAGATGCTGACCCTTGTGAACGACAGCGATCTGCCAGGCTGCTACAGGGTTCTTCCTCAGGTTTGGCATCACGTCCACCTCCCGCCCTCAAGTGTTATCGAGGGGTTTATTAGAAGGAAAAAAAAAAGGAAAAAAAATAAAAAAAACCACCGAGGTTTGGCTAATGACTGACTGGTTTCTGTTCAGGTAGGTTCTTGTTCTCAGCAAATCCCTGTTCCCTGAGAACAGGAACCTATCTGAATATAAACTTTAGGAAGCAATTTAAACTTTTTAGGAAGCAGTTTATGTTCTAGTCTTTGGGGTGCTTTAATGCAGGAGAATTTAGGGGGTCATGAAAAGCAGCTTGCCAGCACACGAGCGGGTGTTTGTAGATGCAGCAGCTTTTGGACCCTCTGAGGATGCTAAGCCCATACAAATCTGGCATCTTGTTTTGTGCCTTTCTGCTTTTTCCTTGGGATTTAAAAAAAAAAAAGTATTAATTGCCATTGTGGTAGATGTCAAGGAGTTTAAAGTTTCCTCGAAGGTCGCTCTGAAGTTGGCATTTGATTCTGTCCCTTATAGGAACACAAGAAGGATGCTGCTGTGCGGTACTCCAGCCCCGTGCCATGTGGGATCATCCCGCCTCACAGCTCAGTGGAGGTCCCGTTCACACTGGAAGCCCAGGTGCTGGGAGAGCAGGACACTGTGGCTCGTGTCGCCGTGTTCGGGAGCAAAGAGTCCCCGCTGGTGAGTGCTGGGGGATGCGGGCCTTCGCGCCGCTCACCTTGGCGGGGCGTGAAGTGTACAGGCAGGGTTGCAAATTCCAGGGATCCTTCCTGGGAAAACAAGAGCTTGTAATATATGACTGGTGTGGACGAGGAAAGATGGGATTCACGGCATGAGCAGCAGCTAACGTGTGGAGAGGAAGGAGGATGGTATATTCTTAGGCAGGCGATGATCTAAGAGTCTGAGGGTGCTTAATTACAGGTATGTGAGAGGATAACAAGCCCAGTCTGAAGCCCAGCACAGTCCCTGGGTCTCACCCTCTGCTGTGCTGTTAGGTGAAGAGCAGCTGCTGCTTCGTTAGGACTTCGTTAGGAGCACGCAGAGACATCCCCGAATCCCATTAAAACAAGCGCTGTGTAAGAAACCACGCTGAAAGTCAGGCTGAGAAACATCCGGCATATCTCTTTGCCAAAAGCCCCAGCCAAAGCCACAAGAGTCTCCACACCGCTTGCCTCTGGAGAACGGAGACTCTCTTTTTGGGTTTTCACTTCTGCCAAGCTTGGAAATGGATGAGGCAAAGCATTGCTGGACAAAAGCCTCCTGAAAGATGTTGTTTGCATTCAGGCATACACAGCAGCAGCGCCGACAACAAAATGTAGGCAAGAGAACATTGTGTGTAGCGTCCCGGCTTCATCTACCTGAAATCTAGAACAAATTTAGTTAATTAAACTTTAATTTGAAATGATTTTAACTTTTGAAGCAGCTGTTTTAATATGTCTTGTCGTCTCTCTGAGCCTGAAAGAGGATGTCAGAGGATTGCTGGGAACCGTAAGCTTTGTGTGACGGAAAGGAAGGCTGACATTTTGGAAGTAGTCTCGGGGATTTAAACTTTCATTAAAACGAATGGAAATGATGCTGCTGAATCCCCTGGATGCCGCTGAACATCTCAACCCAGGCCTTGGCGGATGAGCGTGTAAACCAGTCAACAGGAAGGGCGGCCGGGGAGGCGTTGCAGGGAGCTCTGACAAAACAGTTGCTCGTAAATATAAGGCACACTGCCCTGAAACAGGAGTGTGTCGCCCCTCTAGAATAACCCCTCTGTTCAGCTGTTCGCTTGTTTAGTTACAGTGCTCTTGCAAAGCTTTAACCCGTCACAGAATGGTCACTGAATCCCAGACTGGTGGGGGTGGGAAGGGCCCTCTGGAGCTCCCCCATCCCACCCCCCGCCAGAGCAGGGGCACCTCCAGCAGTGGCACAGGA